TGATGAAAAGAGAAATGAGAAAAACTCCAGGGAATTACACAAAAGTAAAAAAAAAAAAAAAAAAAAAAGCCCTTTGATTTAAAAAATGCTACATTTAGAGTATGGTTAGTTATACCAGAAAAAGGGAGTATGGAAATTTTAGTGGCATTTATCGATAGTGTCTTTTTAAAAGGATTATTATGCACAACTGATGAATGATGGAGTCTGGTTGTATACAAATCCCTAAGGACTCCTGTTCACTGTAGAAGAGAGTTTAAGAATGCATTCCATGCTTTTTTTCTTTTTTTTTAAAGCAATTTTGGTCTTTTTTTTATTATTACGCTGATGGATCATAGAAATCTTGTTTGATATCGGGTCTCTATAAGGACTGGGCATGGAAGGGGCATATATGTGTGTCATATGAAATGTGGCTGAAGTTCAGAGAAATAGGTTTCATTTAATAGCTGAATACTGGATGACCTGACCATTCTTCTCAGCCTCTGGCAGCTCACCCCGTGAGCGATAGAGGAGTCGCCTGCATGAACTGAGGAGTAGCTGCTGGCCTCAATGTGATTTTGCAGTGATCTGTGTGCTCTATGGCTTCCTTCATAACCAACAAATCAATTCCCACTATACGTATTACACACCCCAGTGGCAGAGGCCATTTATTATCCTTTTGATGGTCATACTCTTTGTACATAACCAAGAAAGATTACAGAAAAGGAAAGAACAGTTGAAATGTGGATGAAGATATTGTACAATGGCACTGCATTTTATAATGTGCCTTACATGTATACAAGAATAAAAGAGATGCTTTCTTTCAAGAAAATTTCAAAACATGGATGCAGAATTTTCTTTTGAATGAAATATATTTATTTAGAGAACGATATATGGAGAGATAGTTGTGGATGCAATTCACTTTCAGTACCCATTTGGATTTCAGGTACAAATTCAAAATCATTAAGAGAAAAGGACTGTCACTGTCATAGGAGATTGTTTGTAAGGCTATTATTGACGACTTACTTTTGTTCACCTAACAAGGTTATTGATATTTGCTTCTATTTCCCATCATCTGGCATCAACTTACGTCTGTATTAATTTCTAACTTTGCAGTCTATAATTTTTCAAGCTCTAAATGGCTGATTCCAGGTCTTTCCTAATTATTTGCTCCAGATATTATAGTTATCACTGTTAAACAAACAAGTAAAAACAAATATTGAATTGTGTTAACTAGGTACAGAGTAATTAAGTATTTTGAATTCAATATAAATTGTCCTAACTCAAATGTTCCACCAACACGCATGCGTATCTGAATGCTGGTGGGAAATATTTATCAGGGAAACTAACGACCAAAGTATGACTTTATAGTGGGTTCTGTGCATAAACATTTAAACTGCTTAGTCATTTATATCAATGGATGTGAAAAGAAGAGTGGAAATTTCCAAAGGTCAAATAAGCTACTGTCTCTTCTGTTTTGCATCATTTGAGATTTTCTGGGTTTTTGCAAACAACACAATGCCAAATCTGTATTTGATTTTCTCTTCTCTTTGAAGAGGCAAAACAGCAACAGAATAATTAACTGAAGAGGAGCACGCACAGAATATTTTGCTTTAGCAGTTTAGAAAGTTCTGGATTTCATTTCACAGGATGATAAATGTAGTAAGGTATTCTGGAATCCTTCTATGAGGACTCTATTACCATCAGTAAACCAAAACCTCTCCAGGGCCTGTTTCCTGTTTAGCTGTTCCTCGTTTGTGTTAATTGAAAAGCATGCTCAGTACAGACTGCACATAGATGGGTCAGGTGACGCTGTACATCTTTATGGCAAAAGACACACAAGAACAACAAAAAGGATCTGTCAGTGTCAAGTTCAATGTCTCATTAGTCCTGTGCGACCAAAAAGCTAATGTCATGGATTGGCATTCTAAGGACAAGATGAGTTTTCTTTTACTTGTTATCAGTTTTTTTCTTTTATCGCCCCAAAGACTCTTGTTTCTATTATTTATCTTCTCCTTTTCACGGTACAATTATCATCATACTTAAATAATCTTCAGACAGAGTTGAGCTTTTGTATATGTAATCTTTTGAATCTGCCTCTGAATTTCATTTCTGTTATGTCCTCACATTGCCTCGACATGCTGTGGTTTATCACTGTCACGGAGTTACTTCCTATCATACTAGCTTCTCCTTCGGTAAGACACGTTTAATCAAGACCATTTTTTTTTGATTGAGGAATTTACTGAATTATTTGGAATTATTGTTCTAGAAGAGAATCAGACACACTACCCCGGGATTTGGAGACTAGCTATTATAAAGGTCGATCACGGATTTTATAAAACCAACATTTTACTAAGCTGGTGATGGTATACACTGATAATATTTATGGTTCGAATTAAAGATTGATTGATTTTAAATTATTTATTTATTTATTCATTCATTCATTCATGAGAGACAGAGAGAGAGAGAGACACAGAGAGAGAGGCAGAGGGAGAAGCAGGCTCCATGCAGGGAGCCCGATGTGGGACTCAATCCTGGGACTCCAGGATCAGGCCCTGGGCTGAAGGCGGCTCTAAACCCCTGAGCCACCCGGGCTGTCCTTAGTTCGAATTAAACAACATATGCCCATCCTGTTTCTATCCCTTTAATAATAAAGAGAACCATATTGTCTTCTACATTTCTTGGCCAATTTAAAAGTAGTTCTGGTAAATAGTGGAAGGGAGTGAAGCAGTGGATTGAGTTTTTGTTATTTTGTGATGGTAGCACAGGATTAGCACTGTTCAGAGTGTTTCACGTCTCTTTTTTTAATTGTTTTTTATTTATTTATTTATGATAGTCACAGAGAGAGAGAGAGAGAGAGAGAGAGAGAGAGAGAGGCAGAGACACAGGCAGAGGGAAAAGCAGGCTCCATACACGGGGAGCCCAACGTGGGACTCGATCCCGGGTGTCCAGGATCGCGCCCTGGGGCAAAGGCGGGCGCCAAACCACCGGCCCCCCAGGGATCCCTGTTTCACGTCTCTTAATTTAGTCATCATACTGCCCCTGGAGTATGGGTACTGTTATCATCTCCCCTTTCCATGTGAGCAAACTAAGGCATTGAAAGGAATTCTGTGTAGATAAGAGTCCAGAGCTGTAGTCATTAAGCTAATATACTCTATATATGCTCGAGACTGGGTGGGGAATGAGTGCTGCCTCTAAATTATTTTCAGATACTTCATCTTCTTTCCTACAAAATCTCCAATTTTAGAAACTTTGAAAACATCTCTTGATCCCAACAGCAAACAGAGAGAGAAAACCTGACCTAAATTAGAACATTTTGCATTTGCTTATTTTATGTTTAGTTTCAACCCAAAATATCAGTATTGTTAAGAAATAAAAGAACCTTTAAGTTTCAAATTCTCGTTCACATATTTTTGATCGTACATTAACTCATTTCAATTTTTTTAAATAAAATAGTGAACTTTGAACAAGCTATATGCAAATAACAAAATATAATTTTAATAGAGATCACTGGGTGGATGAGATAAGCAGGAATATATTATGGATTTTAAAGATTTTTTAAAATAAGTTTTTTGTTTATAATAATTCACTTCTGCATTTCTCTTAAAATTTCTGATTATTGTAAAATACACATAGCATAAAATTTATCATCCTAACCATTATTAAACATACGGTTCAGCAATATTAAGTACATTCACATCATTGTGCAACCAATCTCCACAACTTTTCCATTTTGCAAAACTGCAACCTGTACTGTTAAACCTCTCCCCCCACACCAGCTCCCCCTGCCCCTGCTCTTGTAAGCTTCATTTTACTTTCTATATTTGTGAATTTGACTACCACATATAAGTGGAGTCATACAGGATTTGTCTTTATATGACTGGCTTAATTCATTTAGCATAATGTCCTCTAGGTTCAGTCACATTGTACCACGTCAGAAGTTCCTTCCTTTTTAAAGGCTGAATAATAATTCATTTGTGGAACATTTAGGTTGCTTCTACCTTTTGGCTATTGTGAATAATGTTGCTATAAACAGGGATCCCTGGGTGGCGCAGTGGTTTGGCGCCTGCCTTTGGCCCAGGGCGCGATCCTGGAGACCCGGGATCGAATCCCACATCGGGCTCCCAGTGCATGGAGCCTGCTTCTCCCTCTGCCTGTGTCTCTGCCTCTCTCTCTCTCTCTCTGTGACTATCATAAATAAATAAATAAATAAAATTAAAAAAAAATAAAATGTTGCTATAAACATAGGTGTACAAATGCCCATTTGAGATTTAGCTTTGAACTCTTTAGCATATATACAACAGGAGTATTGCTGGGTCATACGGTAATTCAATATTTTATTATTTTATTTTATTTTATTTTATTATTTTATTATTTTAGTTTAGTTTAGTTTGTGTTCTGTTATTTTTTATTTATTTATTTATTTATTTATTTATTTATTTATTTATTTATTTATTTATTTTTAAGAGAGAGAAAGCATGAATAGGGCAGGAGAAGGGAAGGGTCAGGGAGAGAAGCAGAGAGAGAATCCCAGCGTAGAGCCTGACTTGGTGCTCCAGCCCACGACCCTGAGATCATGACCTGAGCCAAAATCAAGACTCAGATGCTCAACCAACCAAGCCACCCAGACACCCCATGATAGTTCTATTTTTTTGAGAACCTGTCGTACTGTGTACCATAGCAATTGCACCAGTTTACATTCCTATTTTTCCGTCTCCTCCTCAACACTTGTTCTTTCATGACTTTCTTTTCTTTTCCTTTTTTCCTTTTTCTGATGGTAGTTATCCTAGTAGATGTGAGGAGATACTTCATTGTGATTTTGTTTTCCGTTTCCATTTGCGTGCTTCTTTCCATGCTTCCTTTTAGTCTGCGATTACAGCAAAAAAAGAAACATACATCATCTGAGTCCAAGTATTTAAGAAATAATTTCATTCAATTTTATTTTCACGTCTTTATTATGGCTTCAAAATATTTTATTGCTGGATGTACCTTGAGCTCTGAGTTCATTATTTCTTTGTTTATAGCTCTTCTTCAGTGGCTGGTGGTACTGGATCTGGAGGATTCTTCAAGCATCTCCATTTTGTGAGGGTGTCAGTGTTTTCAGAACTTCAGTTAGCTCAGTGGCGAAGCCAGGGCTTCTGGTACATCATCCTGCTGATGGCTTCCCTCTGGTTCCTGAGGCTCTACCTGCATTACCTTGGCCAGTGGCTTCTCCTTCAGGCCATTTCAACTCCTGTTACAAAGTGAGTGTTTTCTCCTGGAAGTCAAAGGGATGCATTTTCATCTTGATAGGCCAAATGAAAGTACAAAATTCCTCTCTGTCCATTTACTGGAAGACCTAAAATGCAGGTATGATTTGAAAAGACAAAAATGTCTAAGAGCAGGAACGTCGATTACAGTTATGTTCTCATCTTGTGGGCCTGTATATACAAATGCATAACTGGTGCATCAATATTTATTTAAAATTTAGCAGATTCAAGTATGTTCTAATATCTGAGCAGAATCCAAAAAAGGAATTTAGCAACTATATTTTATTCTGTTTTGATTTTATCAGAGTGACTCAGGCTGAAGGTATTTTAGAAGTAATGTAAGTATGATTTATCACCTATACTCAGAGAGGCAAAGATTGCTTCTTCTGCAAAATGATTGAATTCGAACAATTACCAAACTCAAACCCAGGCAGCTTTCGGGGCCATTATACTCTGGAAAGAGATGACGCTTTACAGGTTATCTCTCCATAAACATGATTCCATAGACACTATAGATAGACAGATAGAAATCAATACAAGAAGAATTCATTTTCTCAAATGTAGATGTTTCAGATAAAAATAAAGATGTGTATCTACTTTCAATTAAGAAGATTGCAAATAACTTTAAGATACTGGGAAAAAATATACGTGTATTATATATACACACAGAGTTTTTGACTGTTTTGAAATTAAATCCTAAACATACAAATGCTTTAGAATATGCACATTTACACATCCCCAAGTTACTGTATAACTTTATACTGTATAACTTTATAAAAGATTTTATACAGATACTATTTTTCTTCCCTTCTCTCTCTCTCTCTCTTTTTTTTTTTTACCTCTCTTTTTTCTTTCCTTTGTGTAAGGGTCTCCAAAGCAGAAAGGACCTATGTCATATGCTTGAGCTAGTTGCTTTTTGCTAACTGCTTTTTTACTCCTTCAATAAAAAACATAAGGAATAAAGAAAGCTCTATCTTTATTGGCTGTTAATAAAATAATACTGCAAGAAAAATACCTTGGCGACTGATTTCTCAAGCATCAGAACATCTAAGAGATGTCAGGATATTTGGTTGGCTATTGTCTGGAGCTACAGGCTTGAATCGTACAGTAGCTCTGTGTCACACTGTAGTCATGAGACACGACAGTAACTACAGTGACACCGAGCATTTCTTCTGCTCTTACTCTGTGTTAGGTCCTCTGTTAAGAAAGGTACATGCGTTACTTCATTTGACATTCACAACAGCATAAGAACAATGCATAAAACTTCCTTCAAAGCAAAGGTCAGGGAGTGGATAAAATGAAGAACTCTTTTTAGTGGAGAATTGGCAAAGAGGGTGCATGAGCAGAATGACGATGGCTGAAATGGGGTCAGGGGAACTTAGAGCACAATGAAATCTCACTTTGCTATAGAAAAAGGGTGCCCCGAAGATTCAGATGCAATGAAACGCCGGGGCACCTGCACCCCGATGTTTCTAGCAGCCATGTCCACAATAGCCAAACTGTGGAAGGAGCCTCGGTGCCCATCGAAAGATGAATGGATAAAGAAGATGTGGTTTATGTATACAATGGAATATTACTCAGCCATTAGAAACAACAAATACCCACCATTTGCTTCAACGTGGATGGAACTGGAGGGTATTATGCTGAGTGAAGTAAGTCAATCGGAAAAGGACAAACAGTGTATGTTCTCACTTATTTGGGGAATATGAATAATAGTGAAGGGGAATATAAGGGAAGGGAGAAGAAATGTGTGGGAGATATCAGAAAGGGACACAGAACATAAAGACTTCTAACTCTGGGAAATGAACTAGGGGTGGTGGAAGGGGAGGAGGGCGGGGGGTGGGGGTGAATGGGTGACGGGCACGGAGGGGGACACTTGACGGGATGAGCACTGGGTGTTATTCTGTATGTTGGTAAATTGAACACCAATAAAAATTAATTTATAAAAAAAAAAAAAAAAAAAAAAAAAAAAAAAAAAAAAAAGAAAAAGGGTGCCAACGCCTGGGTCAAGGCTGCTTGAATGACTGGGCTCACCTTGGATTCAACCCATCGGTTTTTAGGTGGTGTCAAGTTGTTCCTTTTGGAACAGCTAAGAGATAGGATATTTTTATTGGTCACAGAGCAGTGTTGTTTTGTATTTCAGGGTCTATTTAGAGGAATCACAGCAAAATTAATCAGGAATGTTAAAAATCAGAATGATTAGACTGGCTTACTTACATTTCTGGTTTCTAATAGAGGCTGACCCATCACTAAGTCCACAGGTATATTTTGTAGTCCAAATAGCCTACCTGTGAGTATGTGTTATCTGCAGGGCAGCTCTTCTAGAGTACTTCACCCAGTGGATAGAATTGTTATTCTTTCTATGCTTATCTATGACACAAGAACAATGGACAAGATAGAATCTGCCTTTTACTAGAATGTGAGCTCTTACGGTGGTCCCTACAGGGTTGGGAAAAGATGAAGCCTTCTGACATGCAATTTGGGGGCAGTATTAAGTGTCAAGTTTCCTATATTAAAAAAAGAAAGCATATCATTTTAAAATTACTTTGTATCCCTGGCATCTTGTATAGTTTCTCTTGTTTATACATATGTTTATTTTGTTTTCCCACAGATTCCACTTTTCCCCTTTCACCGTTGAGCTTTGCTACCCAACCTCCTCCCTTCAAATTGCAGAAGAGTTGCTTGTGGTTGTGGTGGGACCTTTAGGTCTGAATGCAGTGATACTTCCTTTGGTTCTGATCAGATGGGGTTGTCAGCTACTGTTTGCCTCCTGCCCTGACGTCTTGTCAAAGTTAATCATCACCATGGGCCTATGGACAATTCTGGACCCGTTGGCAGTGTTTATAGTGGATACTGTCCTGGGGGTAAGTCAAGTACAATAATCGGGATATGAGTTCTTGACATAGAATTTAGCTTTAGTGCACGAATCAGTTGACATGGGAAGTTTCAGTTATCATAAACAATTCAATATTTATCTTAAATAGAAGTTATTAAGTTTTTCTTCATCATAAAAAAATGATGGATGTCTCTTATAATCAGTTGAAGTGTTTGAACTATCTTAGATGAACACTTCCAAAATAAGAAGGAAATAATGTTGGAGATCAAATCCAAACTAATTGGTGAATTTTCAAAATTATTACAGTGAAGTTTTATTTGATAACATTTTGTTGGTGACTTTGTTTTTAGTATATGGATTTTCATAGCCACACTTTATTAAAAAAGTGATCATACTGTAGTTCCTTCAATTGATTACATTACTTATTTGCTTTGTGATCTAATAGTCTTCTGTAATAAGTATACTCAAGAAGAAGTAGAGCTTTTTAAACAATTATAAGTAATAACTGAAATTTAAAAACGTAGGTACCTATTTTGACTTTCATCATGCTCACGAAATGAAAGGAAATCTGAATTTCAACTAAATTATGTACTTTAGATCTGGCTATGAAATATGGCCCCAAGTAAGAGAGCAGATGGATACTATAAATAAATCAATATGATCAAATAGTCAGTTATAAAATTATCTTAAGTTACCAAATAATATTCCATACCTGATGTATTTCTCCTTTCAAGAAGAAAAAGAAAAGTTTACAATTGGGTTACGTGTGTTTAAACTGTACTCAGTGGGCCAAACGGATTACAGAGGTGGGCATTTTGATGGACTCTACTCATTAACAGTGTTTGAAATGTGCTTTCAGAATGAAATCCTATGAAAATGTAAATTCTGAGTCAGCAGCTGGAGGGGTCTGCGATTCTGCATTTTAACAGATTCCTAGGTGATGCCAGAGATGTTGGTGTATGGGCCAGGCAGCACTGTGACAAGGTGCTGGGTGCTTTACTCTCCATTTCCTTTGTTTGCTAGGCTGGACTTTCACTTGCTCAAGGTTCCTGGGGTGTTCTCAACAAGACTGGGGACCTGGATGCACTGAGTCTATTAGTGGCTTGCTAGGCTCTGTGTGAGGGTTCTGATAGCTTATTTCTAAGTGGCACATGCTCTGCTAGAGATGCTCAGAACCTGTAAACAAGTGTTCTAGTTGACCCTGCAATCATAGAGATCATTTAACATTATTAAAATGAATTAAAAGCAGTGCACATTGAGCCTACCAACGTTTCTATTTTTTTAGTCTCACTGCTGAGGATTAAAGGAAGAGCCAGGCACCAAGGAACGTTTGGAAGGCTGACTTGTTTCCAAGTCAGCAACCACCCTCTGGAGTCTCAATACCATTGAACACCTTGGTGACAGGTCGGAAGTGGTTGCATTTTCAACCCCATCTCTTAGTATTTCCCCCCTTGATCATCAACCTTATTTGGATTCTGAGTGGACTGAGCTGGAGCCAACTGGACTTTGTCCGTGTTCTGACTTCCCTCAGACTTACGGTTAGCAAGGGGGAGACCATGTCATCAAGGATGGTTGAACAGGAGGTGTAGAGAGGAATGCTGTTGGCATTCCGAGAGGATCCTTTTCTGTGGCATCTCACAATTTCTGCCAGAGGCCTGATGTGCATATTGAGCAGATGGGGTGCCACTCTGATCCTATGGCAACACCACACGTGAAGCTGTGTGGGGAGGATGAGCAGCTGTGTCTATCATCTTCTGAGATCTCATCATACAGAATGTGTGCAGCCCTCCTGGAATGGCTCTCCTTATTCCAATCAGGTCCTCTAGAGAGATTAATAGCTGAGTGGTCCACTGTATCAAAGGCGGCTGACAAAATGAGCGGTCTAAATTTACTCTGGGGCCTCTGATGTAATCTACAGGAAAGCAGCCTCCAGCAGGGCCATCTCAGCACCGGTTCAGAGGTCTGTAACCTGATGGAAGCTGACTTGGATTCTAATAGATGATTATAGCACCCATATCTTTCTCCACTTGGAGAGAAAAGCTGAAGGCTCGTTCCCAATCTGCACAATTATTGATTCTCCGGTTAGAATCCATCAGGCTTCATTGTAGATGACATCTAATTTTGCTGTCTTTAAAAAAACTTTAAAGCTGCATGCAATCCACAAAGTGACAGCACTGGGGCTGACACATGGACACGCCCATTAATTAAATCAAAAGTCACATTCTAACATGCTCTCCAGTGACTTATCAGCACACCAAGTTTGGAAAGTCCTGCTCTAAAGCAGTGGTTCTCAAAGTGAGGCCACTGGACAAATAGCATCAATTTCACCAGGGAATTTAATTGCAATGCAAATTGAAATGTAAGATGTCAGACCCAGCCCCAAATCTATGAAGTCAAAAAGTTTGGGAAGGGGCCCAGCCTCTGAGAAGGGCCTATTGTGTTTTAACAAGCCTTCCAGATGATTCGCATGCTCATTAAATTTAGAGAACTGCTGCTCCACATGGGATCATAGTTATCATAGATTGAATGTCACTCATGAGATTCAACTTGCCTAGGTTCATCCTTCCAGTTCTTTCAGCACTTCCTTTCAGCAGATAAAGTCAGGGATCACTTGTATTTGATCCTGGTCAGCCAGCCAAGAGAGAGGCTACTTTACTTTACCGATATATTATGTTCTGGATTTTAAATGGCAATCTAAAAAGAGATGTGGCAGATGGAATGGTTTGAGGCTGAGGCATTGAGTGGCTGTTGCTGCTAATAACATTTTGTTAGTCTCTCAGTTTGCTGGCTCAGAGGTTGGCAAAGCATTCCCGGATCCCCATTGATGATACAACAATTACCCTGAGTTCATAAATTCCTTCTCTGCCTGAGCCCCAATCTAGATAAAAAGTAGAGGAAGGATTTGCTGTTGAATGTTTTAATTGATCAGCATGTATTTATTGACTATATATTCTGCACAGGATTTTAACAGAAACAGTAAGTATGGCACTGTTTCTTCAATATAGGTGGATAAGAATAATACATAAGAACAAAGATCAAACAAAGGTACACTGCAAGTGTCTTCATTCAGCAAATGATTCTTGAAAATCCATTGGAAGTGATCACAGATTAATAGAAAGAGGATAGACTTGGAGTTGGGGAAAGTGCGTTCTGGTCACAGCCCTGCCATTTGTCAGCTATAATGACATTAGATAAGTCAGTCTTCAACTGCTTCATATGTATCAAAAAAAGTAATAATACCTACAAATAGTACCATCTACCTTACTCACTTCACAGTATTGTTGGGACAACCAATTGGAAATACACCTTGAAAAATCTAAGGCACCATACATATAAACTGAAAGGAACAAGGATGAGGATTTTAATGAAGTAATGATACTTATGCTCTATGTACAATACAGGATGTAACAGACCTTGCCCTGATCCACGCAGGAACTTACAGTCTAGTCGCAGAATCACATACACAAAGATGAAGTACGGGCACTGTGTGATGAATGCCATCTGGCATATCACTCATTCCCTTATATCCTCCAAGTCTTTGTTCAAATGACACCTTTTCTCATTTCAATATTTAATAACACACCTCCATCCCTCCTATACTTTTTTCTGTTTCATGTGTTTCTTCAAAATGCCATCTTCTGGGATCCCTGGGTGGCTCAATAGTTTAGTGCCTGCCTTTGGCCCAGGGTGCGATCCTGGAGTCCCGGGATTGAGTCCCATGTCGGGCTGTCTGCATGGAGTCTGTGTCTCCCTCTGCCTGTGTCTCTGCCTTTCTTTCTCTCTCTATCATGAATAAATAAAATCTTAAAAAAAAATGCCATCTTCTAACATACCATATTTATTGCTTAATCTTACTTGCTTATCCCCCAGCACCCCTACCCCAACTTAAGTGTAAACTCCAAGAACATGGGGCTTTTATCTAATTTTAGTCACTCTTCTATCTTCAGAGCTTAATGACACATGGTGAGTATTCACAACAACGTGTGTGGACCAAATGGATGATTAGCATCTATTGATTAGATAATGTTATTGGCATCAAATATATATCATTATTTGTGTATGTCACCAGTGAATCCTACGTCTCTTTCTTTACCTTTAAGAAATAGCAGCAGGGGAAGATCTAGAATAGGAGAAATGTATGACAACACTTACCGATCTTTGCCTAAAGCCCAAGTGACAGATTCACATTCTGCAAGGTAGACCAATTAATAAGTACAGAATATAAAAATCAAAGTTTTAGTGTAGTAATAAAAGAAATATTGGTTGGGAGTCAGAATATCTGACTTCTAGTCATTGTTCATATGTTAAAGGATATTTTGGTGTAGGGAAGACATAGATTAACCTCTCTGAGCTTCTGTTTTTGTTTTGTGTGTGTGTGTGTATGTGTGTGTTTCTGAGGTTCTGTTTTTATCTATACATTTGTAGTATGGATTAGTTTTGATCATGCTCTTTTAAGCTATACTTACTTATATAATTGTCAGTTTAAAAAGTTAAGAAATTCTTCCTCCTTTTTTACACTGAAGAAAATATGCTTTATTTACATTTACATTACATACCACTTCCACCTGATACCAGAAAGTCATAATTACAGAACACATATGTTTTGTAAAATTCAAGGGTCAAAGATGTCAAATGGCAATGTTCTAGGTCTGTAGCATTTAATATTTTTTTAAAGACCTTATTGCCTTGTATTTATTTCTAATTCATACAGAATACGTTTTCGTTGTCTAAAATAAGAACTTATGGTTAAATTGACCTAATGTAAATTTTGGTTTTCAAGCGCACATTAAATAGCCTGATAACTTTTTTATAAGTTTCTAAAATAAGCCATCTATTTTATGCATAGCACAAATTAAATTCCTTTCAAATCTGCTTCAATGAGAAAGGGGTATTTCCACCATCATATTTAATTTCTTCATATCTTGTGATCATTAAGTTCAGAAGTTAATAGTACATAAATAATACATGGTTTTTCCTTTATGAATTGCATGTAGAGTGTACACATTTAAAAGCTTATAGGGAAAAATGAGGAAAAAAAAGAAAAAAAAAAAACAACTGCTAAACCAGCCATGCAAACCCAGTCTTTTTCTTTTCTTTTGCATAGCTGAAGATCTGGTGATCTTTAGTACCTTGAGAATTTAATTTAAAAACAAATTATGGTATCAAATGGTTTTCATGTATTTAAATTAATCTAACTTGATGATCAGTGTTTCCATCCTTATTTCTTAAATTTTCTTTTCTTTTCTCAGAGGCTTATGCATAATGGGGACACTCCCATAGCTGATGCAGCAAAGCTGTACTGGGTGTTTGTAAGAACCATGGAATCGGGAGTTCTCGGTATAATGCTCACCGTGTTAATTTACGTGTTGCTGTTCATCATTTCTTCTTTGATTTTATATTTGTATTGTCTCAGGTAAGGTGCTTCAGTGCTTTGGGTTCAGGGTGTTCAGTCTGCAGTCTTGTTGTGCATTTGAGCTGTGACTGTATGATTAGAGAAAAGAAGTTAGATCCACATCTATATGTCTAAGATAGAAATGTCCTTGGTTAGGGCACCTGGGTGGCTCAGTTAGTTAAGCATCTGCCTTTGGCTCAGGTCATAACACCGGGGTCCTGGGATCCAGTCCTGTGTTGGGTACCCTACTCAGTGAGGAGTCTACTTCTCCCTCTCCTTCTGCCCTCCTCATCCCCCACCCTGCTCGTGCTCGCTCTCTCTCTCTCTCTCTCCCCCTCTCTCTCATGTATGCTTTCTCTCAAATAAATAGAGTCTTAAGAAAAGAAAAAAAAAAAGAAAAAGGAAATGTCCTTGTTTGTTTGTAACAGATATCACAAAGTCCAGCTGAGAAGCTAATCAACTTTCAGGGAAATGTTTTCTCTCCATAATAGAGAGATCTCCTTTTTCTGTAAACCATTATACTTGTCTCTTCAAACTAGGGGCCAACCAGAAACAAGGATATCCAATAATAACCTGGTAAATTTCCTGAGAAGCTTATGTAAAATTATTTTTTTTCTCTTCCTTCCAACCCAATTTCTTCCCATTCTTTCCACCCACCCCCCTGCCAAAATCACCAAGAGAAGTATCATCCTTCAGCTTTGATTCTGAATATCTTAGGGTTTGGCTTTCCCGGTCACTCATCAAGCAAGCAATGTATGTATATGAAGAAACAGAAAAGCAACAAATTCGAGTATAAAAAGTGCTAGGAAGACTTTTCACTCTGTTGGTGGTTTCCTTTGCTTTACAGAAGCTTTTGAGTTTGAAATAGTCCCACTAGTCCATTTTTGCTTTTCTTGCCTGTATTTTTAAAAGCCATTTTCATATCTATGAAATCATTGGCAAAACTAATGTCATGAAACTTTATCCTTATGGTTTTTTGTAGAATTTTTGCAGTTTCAAGTCTTATATTTAAATCTTTAATCCACTTTGAGTTGTTTTTTGTGTGTGGTATAAGGTAAGGATCCAATTTCTTTCCTTTGCATATGGATATCCAGTTTTTTTTTTCAGCACCATTTGTTGAAAAGATCATACCTTTTCCATTTAATATTCTTGAAGATCAGTTGACTACATGCATGGAGTTATTTCTGGGCTCTCTAGTCTGTTTTAATTGTCTATTTGTCTATATTTATGCCAGTGATATACTGTTTTAATTACTGTAGCTTTGTAATATATCCAGCAACTCTGCTTCTAGAGATTTACTCAAAAGAATTAAAATCAGGATCTTAAAAGAGATATTAGCACCCCTATGTTCATTACAACATTATTCACAATAGCCAAGATGTATAAACAACCTAAATGTTCATCAACAGATGAATGGGTAAGGAAACTGTGGTACACATACAATGAAATATTATTCAGCTTTGAAAAAGGACATCTTGTAATATGTGACAAACATGGATGAACCTTGAGAATATTATACTAAATGAAATCAGCCAGTCACAGAAGTGCCAAACCTTCATGATTCCATTAATATGAAGTGTCTTCAATAGTCAAAGTCATAGAAGCATAGAGTGGGATGGTGGTTGTCAGAATCTAGGGTGTGTTTTCAACACACATAAAGTTTCAGTTACATAAGATAATTAAGTTCTGATATCTGCTGTGCAACACATTGTGCCTATAATTAACAATACTGTATTATACACTTAAAGAATTATTTAGATAATAGATTTCATGTTGTTTTCTTACCATAATTAAAAGAAAAGTGCTAGGAAGAGGTCAACACAAGAGTCTCTGAGAGCATAGAGTAAAGGAATCAGCACAGGTCTGGAGAAGGATTAGGGCAGTAGCCAAACACATCAGTTGAAATATAACCCTTGACTAATTTTCCAAGATTTAATATAATTTGGCTGGAAGAAAAACATAAGGAAACATATTCCTCAACACAAGAAAAATGTATGAAACTGTATGAACATGAGAAAGTTCAATATATTTAGTCACTCAAAAGTACTTTAATATGGTGGGAGTATAAGACATGGGGCAAAGGAAGTTGACTGAGATTCAAAGATTTAGATGATAAAATTGAGTTTCATGTTATGGAGCTGAATTTGTTCTAATGGTAAAGTGAAAAGTTTAAAAGATTTTTAATAATTTTAATTTTAGGAAGATCACTCTACTAATAGAAGGGAAAGTGGCAGCCTGGGTGGCTTAATGGTTTAGCGCTGCCTTCAGCCCAGGGTATGATCCTGGGAACCCAGGATTGAGTCCCATGTTAGATTCCCTGCATGGAGCCTGCTTCTCTCTCTGCCTGTGTCTCTGTCTCTGTCTCTCTCTCTCTCTCTCTCTCCCTCATGAATAAATAAATAAAAATCTTAAAAAAAAGAAGAAGGGAAAGTGGTCAGGTTGAAAGCATGGAAATCTAGTTAGAAAGCCATTTCAATAGTCTAGACACTGTCAAGAGCCTTCACTGAAGATAATAACATAGGAAATGGACAGTTGTGGAATACTGAAGGAATAGTTGACATATATAGAACTTTTGGGCTTGTTGGGAATTGAAGGTGAAGGAAATAATGACATTTAGTATAACCTTAAGTTTTGAAGTTGGGCATCTATGGGTAGATGGTGATAGCATTCTCAGAGACAGAGGTGACGTGGAGAGTAAAAATTTAGAGGAGATAGATAATCAGTTAAATTTTCATTCCTAGTTGACCTTAAGATGTCCTGGATATTGCCAAGGGAAAAAAACATCCTAAGAAGTTGGATAAATCAGTGTAGAACTCAGGCAAAACCATATAGATGGTGAATTTGTGTGGAGGAAGTCTTAAGTTTCATTGCTTTATGGGGTAGAAGGTCAATTGGAGTGGGCTGAGTAAGGGATAGGGACATAGAGTCAGGTATTACTGACTTTTTTAATATACAAAGCGATGCTATAAATGGAAAATGTTAAAAAAAAAGGTATTTTTTTTAAATAGTAGTTTTTAGGGCCACCTGGGTAGCTCAGTTCAGGTCATGATCTCCCAGTCTTGGGATGGAGCCCCAAGTGGGGTTCCATGCTGAATGCAAAGTCTTGTTTCAGGTTCTTTCTCCCTCCCCTTCTGCTACTCCACCCATTGCTCTCTCTCAAATAAATAAATAAAATCTTTAAAAAAGAATGGATTTTAACATGAGTGTGGTTTGAATATATTTATATGCAAATATGAAAATTCTAAAAGGAAGAAAATTGCAAATGGCTAAGCAAGTGAGGATAATTGAACAAGGAAATCCCTGAAAACATGAAGGATAGCACAAATGGAGACAAACCCAGGATTTGGGAAAAGAATCTTGTCCCTAGATGTGATAAGGAAGGAGATGAGGGGAAAGCAAAAAGCATGGTGGTTTGTGACAAAGCACTGAAGGAATTCACATAGGATAGACCTTATAGTTTTCTGTGAAATGGGAGGTGAGCACACTCCTCAATTCTTCCTTCCTTAGATCAATAATATAGCTGCAGTAAAGTTGAACTTGTTTTTCTGGGAAAGGGAAGAAAGTCTTCCCTGATCATTAGCTTTCATTTGACCACTAACATGTCCTGTGGCCCCAGGCAAAGATGTTCAGGCATTTTCTTATGTAATATGGTACAGATGACACATATGTGTAGATCTTACAAGAGGCTCTACATAAAGCATGACTCTATTATTTAAAATGACTAGACTTTTCTAGGGAAGTTAAAGAAATAAAATAGTACATCATGTAGTTTGGGCTTTAATAGGATTAAAAAATTGTCAGATAACATTATGTACCGTTTATTACATTGATATGTCTCTTCTCACTTAAAATACGGTGAATGTTTGCAACCATGCATTTCTCTGCCCAAGGTTCACATTTTTGTTATCAAGATTGCTTGTAAAGTACGAAAAAGGAAGTGTAGAATTTATGCACCGAATAACTAGGATTTAATATTTTTTTCTGCCTAAATGAAATAGTGATTTGCTTTAAAATACAACAGAAGGATTACCCCATGAGAAAGCATGGATAGGAGGAGTGAGCAGCTCTGTAATGGATGGAAAAATGATTTGGGAAAAGGTAAGACAAAAAAAGTGTCAGGACATCATAGAGAATGGGTCTGAAAAAGTCTAAGAGGAGTAAGTTTTGTGCACTCTCTCAAGATAGGTCCTCACTGTTATCCATGCTTATCCTGTCCCATCAGAACCAGACATGCTCAGTAACCCCCAGGTTTTGCTAGTGTTTTAGAAGGAAATGCTCTTAAAATTTCTTTAGGTAATGATAGAGGTAACACCAATCTCCTGCAGGGAAAATACTTGTATTTTTTTGTATGCATAAAGTTGCTCTAATATGTCAGCTGAAAGATCGCTTTACTGATGTTTGCACAGCATCTCTCTCTAAAATGTTGGAGAGCTGAGTGGCCCTGTTCTTCTATCCAGCAAGCGCTGCCATCAACAGAGGCATCTGGTCAATGAAGTGGGGTTTGCTCTGGCATAAAAGTAGGCAAAGAGATACAAAAATCATAAGAACTCATCTTCGTGAAAGGTGCCAATATGGATTTGTGCATGTTGACTGATTTAGGTTAGCATTCTTAATCCAAACATTTAAGCAACAGTCGTTAAGTCTTCTGGGCTTTTGGATCAGTCCTGTCGAAACATGTGATAACATGACTAGTATTATAGGAACACAAAGGAGATTAAGTCTGTTGTGCAGACTGTTAACAGAGAATTTTGTCTAGCTCTGGGCACCGAAAGCTCTACATTATAAAGACTGGCTGTGTAAGCTCCAGATTGGACCCTATTGAGTTTGACTGATTGGATCTTATTCCTCCAAGAGCCTGAGTAATTTATTGCTGAAGGGTTTCTACTAGAAAAATTCTCCCTCTCCATGGCTCTAGTAGGAGAGTTGACCTGCATGAGGAAGTTCCTGACCTTAGTGTAATTATCTGAACTGGATTTTATAGCTTTAAAAAAAGCATTAATCTTTTTAATGCTTCTTCCTTA